TCTCCTTGGTATGGAGAATCTTTCTAAGATTAGTTCAATAATGATCCCAAAATATTTGAGCTATTTAGAAACACAAACTCACCAACACCTGCTGATTCATGTCAAACAGATTTGTGTGCCATGTTGAAGTCAGGGATTATGTTTAAATCATTCCTTGATGTGAGATTGTCATGCATAGATTTTCCTATTAACACATTTTTATAGTGGAAGAGATTTTAATGAGATCTCCTGTAAAAACAGAGCCATCCTGTTTCAATTATTAAATGCCATTTAAAACCTGCAAGAAAACTATTATGAATCTTCAAACAAATCTGGCCTCTGCAGTTTGGCGAAGCTTGCCCTCTTAAACCTTGTTTCCTTGTGGCATGGAACATGTTGCTGTTTTCATAAAACCAAAGGTATTTTTGAGATACCGTATAATGTCATTGAAGGAAGGCACATTTTTAAGGAAAGACAGGGAGAAGACCTTTATGTACTCTGTTTAGTTTTCTAGGAAACTCTCTACCGTATTTTAATGATTGCCTCTAGACACCAAAGTATGGAGTTCTGTCATATAGGGCTAAAAACTGTTCAAATTATGAAGATACACAAAAAGTGGGAAAATAAGAATAATTTAAAATAATAGTACCATTCCTTGTTATTAAATTGCTCCCTTTCAATTTGGATTTTGTTATATGAGTGATTCTATTCTAACTATTCTATCTGCTCTTGCCTAAAGAAAAACAATCAATTGCAGTTAATTCTAATTTTAAGGGGCATGTCTAAGAATAGATGTGTGTCTTTAATTGGGCATCTTTCTTCATTATTCTGAGACCAGGAAAGTAATTACCTACATAGATCAGTCTACTATTTTGTAGCAATTGCAAGTGAAATTCAAGGCTCCAGGACCATAGAGAGAAACATAGTTCTTGAAACATTTATCAGTAATTGTTTGTTCTTAAATGAGTATTGCAAAATACCAAGCCTCTCTTAGATAATAATTTTGTGAGTTCCATATAAAAACATTGTTTTTTTTAAGAAACTGGGTCATCTACTCTGAATGTGACAGACTCTGATTTTTAGTTGAGGAGTGTGCAGTGTATTCAGTGTACTGTTTCTGAGACAAATTTTACACATCCATATCTATAGCTTTTTGCATACTCTGAAATCCATGTTCATTTGGGGAAGAAGATGCAATAGTTATTGTCTAGTTGATTTCTTCAGTGTTTCTTTTTGTGCCTCAATGCTAAAATTTAAAAATTCAAATGAACCTTTTAAACTTGTGAATAGAAAAAAGGTTTACCATTACACTCATGAACATAGAATAGATTCATAATGATCCAATATTTCCAAGTGTTGAGTCTGGCTGAGAGACAGAACCAATATACCTGTCTATACAGAAATGCCTGGCCAGAGTGAGACCCTAAAATCTTCTTCAATTCCCTGACACAAACTTTGGGTGTCCCATACAAGAGATTGCATTAATGGACTAGGTGCATGAAGACATGGGAAAATGAAAGAGACATCATTTTAGAATTTAGACAAAGTGCTGATTCTGCAGCTGTATGGTCTCACAAGTTTCTATGATGGTCAAATGTGAGAGACAACTTAGGGTCTTTTCTCTCTTTAAAATATATCTAGTGATGATTTGGAGGTTTTTGTTTTGTTTTGTTTTTTTCAAGACAGGGTTTTTCTGTGTAGCTTTGTAGACCAGGCTGGCCTTGAACTCACAGAGATTTGCCTGCCTCTGCGTCCGAGTGCTGTGATTAAAAGTGTGAGCCAGCACTGCCCGCTGATTGGGAGTTTCTTAATCATGGGACATTGGCTATGTTTTGACCTTCATAATTAAAAAAAATTAAATCTAGTTCTGAATTTTAATTCATTTTTGATTTTTAAATATTAACACCATATTTAATTTGAGACTTAAAGTTTTTGATGTGACCAAGAGGAAGTCAGAAATGAACATTGTGTTTCTATTACTTTCTATCTTGTTTTCTTTATTCTTTTTTGTTGAATTATTTTTCCCATACTAGGTTTCAACACAATCTCCCGAAGTGTCCCAAACCCAGCTTTCTCTGTACTCTCTCATTCCATCACCTCTCCACATGATCCCTCCTACTATAGTCCCCTCCTGCCCCAGGCCACTTGCAGAATCTAGTCTATTTCCTCTTCCCAGGGAGATTCATGGATCCCCTTAGAGCCCTCCTCTTTATATATTCTCTCTGAGTCTATGAATTATAGCATGGTTATCCTTTACTTAACAGCTAAAATCCACTTGTAAGTGAGTGCAAACCATATTTTTCTTTCTGGGTCTGGGTTACCTCACTCAGGATGATTTTTTTTCTAGCTTCATCCATTTGTCTTCAAATTACATGATGTCATTGTTTTTAACTGCTGAGCAATACTCCATTGTGTAAATATACCACAATTTCTTTATCCATTCTTCAGTTGAGTAACATCTAGGTTGTTTCCAGTTTCTGCTTTTTATGAATAAATCCATAGAGAACATAGTTGAGCAATTGTCCTGTGGTAGGATACAGTGTCCTTTGAGCAGATGCCTAAGAGTAGTATAGCTTGCTCTTCATTTAGATCAATTCCTGATAGTCTGAGGAACAGTCATATTGGTTTCCTTAGTGGCTGTACAAGTTTTCACTCCCATTTTTAAATTGGATTATTGTTTTTTAAATACCCGTTTCTTAAGTTCTTTATCTATTTTGGATATTATACAATTATTAGATGTGGAGGTGGTAAAAATATTTCCATACTATAGGTTGCTACTATGACATTTGCCTTACAGAAGCTTTTAGGTTTCATGGTAACTAATTTGATAATTGTTGGTCTTAGTCCCTTCACTGTTGGTATTCTGTTCAGAAAGCTGTCCCCTGTGTGAATGTGTTCAAAGCTATTCCTCACTGTCTTTTCAATGAGGTTCAGTATATCTGGCTTTATTTTGAAGTTTCTGATCCACTTGGACTTGAGTTTTCTGCAGGATGATAGATATGGCTCTATTTGCAATCTTCTACATGCAGACATCCAGTTTGACCAGGACTATTTGCTGAAAATGTTTTCTTTTTTCCAGTATGTAATTCTGGCTTCTTCATCAAAAATCAGGCATCCCTAGACATATGTAATTATGTCTGTGACTTCAGTTGGATTCCATTGATCCACCTGTCTGTTTTTATACCAATACCAGGCATATTTTACTACCGTTTATCTGTAGTACAATGTGCATCAGGGCATTGACACTGCCAGCAGTTCTTTTGTTGTTCAGGATTATTTTAGCTATCCTGCCTTTTTTTCTATATGAAGATTAGAATTGTCTTTATATCATTTTCCCTCCACTTTTCCCCCTCCCTCCAATCCCTCCATTGTACAGAGCATACTTAATTATTAGGGCTTGAACAGAGCATACTTAATTCTTAGGGCTTGATTCTTAAATTTTATTTTCTAATCAAAAGATAATAGTTTTTCATTGTATTTTGACCATTTTGGGCTTTCTATAACTGTCTCCATCTAATGGAATGAAAGTGGTAAGAGCTTCTCTTATCCATGGGTATAAGGATATATATTAAGAATGAAGTTAGAGTTTATACTGTTTTGGGAAATTGGCTAGGTTTTCAATGCTAGGCATGAATTCCCTATTTTGAGCAGGTCTTAAGTCAAATGAGACAACTGTTGTTTGCAGCCCAAATACAATTGCCTCTACCCCATCCTTGGTAATCTCTTGCCATGCTGGGCATTGTGGTTCATAGGTTTTACAGCTGAGTAGAACTGTTAGTTCCTGTCTCCATGGCATTTCTGATACTTTGAAAGCTAATCCTTAGGATGAATTTCCGCTTCTTAATTGTGAGTTAAACTCTCTGGGGTAGGAAATAATTAAATTTCTTACAAAACAATTATTCTTCTATCTTAAGAAATATTATAAAATGAATTATTTTATTAGTGAGTTGTTAAAAAGTTAAGAAATTATTATAATGTTATTACAGCCAATTAATTTATTGTTAAACCCATGTTGTATGAAGTGTTGGGTCACAGTGAAAATTGTATTTTATTTCTCCTGATCCTGCATTTTCAGAGTGGAAGTGTTCTAATTTAAAGCAATAACAATTCAGATGGAGCTAGACTGAATAATTTTGAAGAAGCAATGGTATTTACCCAAGACTAATAACACAATTTACATTTTCTCAGTAATTCGTATCTTAGAAACAACCAATATGACAATATCAAAATCAGTTTGAGAAAGATCTCCTATGAAATTGGATTTCTCAGCAAAAATGTAGTTCACCCAGAAAACATACACTCTGCCTTCCTTTTGTGGATATCTTTCATTTGACTATAAAAATGATGCTGTGTTTTGAAGCCATAAAATTCTGGATCAAAAGATTGAATTTCAATTTAAATGTATGGATTTATTTTTATAAAAAGCATAGCATCTGACTAGAAAATAAGTTGGGGCATTTTGCATTCTTTTTGTGTTATGTAAGAAGTTACAAATGTATGTATTCAATATTGTGTAAATTTTAGAATAGATATGTGGAAAACGACAGGATAGGTTTTCTTTTTAATTGTACTGTTCTGCCCTTGAGCCAAAATAAATTAATATTTTTGGTTCTTCACTTTAAAAACTTTGGTTGAGAAATTGTTCATTATTGTTGAATTTCAATATGATTGCAAATTAAATGATCCAAAACCCAATAAAGTGAAACACACAAAAGACCAATTAACATGTTATCTCAGCAAGTATATAGAGGAATGGGGAACATGCTGTTCTGCACTGTAGCATATAATTAAGATGCAGTTGTAAATCTTAGAAATATTATAACATGTTGAGGTGCACAGGTAGCTTTTAGAAAGATTGATTAGTTATTCTTGGCCCCTTGAGAAGAGAGTTCATAGTTATTCCTACAGACTGAGACAGAATAATTTCTCAAGATTCCAGCAGAGTGGATGTTTTAGTGCACAGTATATGCAGGAGACAAATGTTTGCAAAGTGTTCATCTCCTTGCTTGTTTCCATTCTAGATGCTCTCTATGATGTCATCACTGTGGGAGCACCAGCTGCCCATTTTCAGGGATTCAAGAATGGTGGTCTTCGAAAATTACTCCATAGATTTGAGACAGAGAGAAGAAAGTAAGTAAAGACAGAAAGAAAACAAATATTTTCATTAATGATATTATCTTTCCTTTGAATAAGTCGATAGAAAATGTTAGTATATTGAAGATCAATCCACTGTAATGAGTAGTTGTTAACATTTTAACCCAGTAGGTAAATGAAAATTGTTGAATTTCTCTTAGTTACTCAAGAATAGACTAGAGCCAACAAACCACATGAATGGGCTTCCTGGGAGTTCTTCTGGCAGAACACTGTCCTGAAAGCCATGCTGCTCCATGGCATACTCTCCTATCACCCTTGCTCACTGGAAAAAATGATGTACAGGAATTTAGCTAAACCCATGACCTGATGTAATCATTGAGGTAATGATGCTTAATGATGAACACCGATCCTTATTTCATTTTTTATTTTTTGATGATGACCCTGTTGGTCATCATACAACTGCCCTAACCTTTAACTATGTCATTTGGAAAAGAGAGCTGTCAATTAGATGGCTAAACTAACAGAGGAAGCTTGGTTACTCATGAAAAAGGGCAGCAAAACTAAAATTTCTCTTTTAACTTTGGTTTAGTAACTACTTTGAAATGCTGCTTTAAATAGAGTCTGTCTCAGTAAGGGATGCTCCCTCTCATCCCACACTCAGGATAACTGACCTTGTAACTTTAGCTAGGACCACATTCGTGCAAGCCATGAAAAAGCACATTGGGATGAGAACAATTATCGTCCTTTACACATGGTGGTTTTCTTTGATTAGAAACCCCCAAATTGAAAGCTATGGGGAAGCTGTTACTACCAATGACAGTTGGTTTTATAACTGTTTTAGACAATTTTTGTAAGTGACCATCCAAGAACTTTCAAGGTTTTGAGCACATCCGTCAAAGAAATTATCCATTTCCACAGTGTCCAATGTGTCAGAAGAAAGCATTCTTGAACTGAATTACTGTATTCCCAATACAAATATGTTTTCTTCCTCCTCCTCCTCTTCTTCATACTACCAACTTTTATAAAATACTATGATCTCAGCTGTAGTCCTTGTTCACATTTCTTTAGTTTTGTTTACTGTTCATTAGGGAGGGCTTATTTCTCTGTGGTATTTTATCACATGCTTTATCACTATAATCACAATGAAGTAGTGTCCTGTCCCCAGACTTCTCCTTAGTGTCTATGCCCTATTTCCAAATCTTTCTGTTGTAGAAAGTTTTTCTGTTTCCTTGGGACTTTGGGAAGTAATGGTCAGAGTTCCAGTGGTAGGCTTCTCAGGGAAAAAGTTTATCTCCTGCAAGGAATTGGAAGTCAGTTTAAACCACAAACTCCAGTGGAGAAGGGATGCTCTGTGTTTACTGAAGTGTGGATTGTAGACAGTTTTCTGCCCACAGGCCTACTGAGGAGAGGTGTTTCTCATTGATCTCCCCTCGATACCTGCCTCTGTTAGAATGGTCATGGCTTGTGCCCCAGAATGTACAGATGTGACTCAAAGATGCAAGATTCACTGGCTATCCATTTCACCAGTTTTTGGCTTTCTTTTAATGTTATTTTGTGATTGTTACTTTTGTTGCTGGTGTGGTCATTTTTTCTCCTTTGAGACTTTCTATGAAACTCAAGTAGCAGCATATAGAAGGCTAAGAGAGCAACAAAAGAGATTCATTGTCATTTCACCTTCTATATCAAAGTCCCCCAAACCATTCTGCCTTTTCTCTTAAGTCCCTTAGAGTTATTATGACTATTAGATTTTGTGTGGAGTAGTTTATTGTGATGTGCAGAAGTTAAATAGTTGCTATTTTCACTATCCTATCTGGAACTGGAAATTCCTTACTGAATTACTAATTTTGTCTTTTATATTTTTCAACCAATTATATTTTAAACAAAATCATAATATAATTTCAAGACTCAAAAGCTTCTGGATACAGGCTTATCTATAATTTAACTGAACACATACTGATGTGAGATGTAAGACATAACTCTACAATTATAACTTACCATTGTAAGAATTGGCAAGGACAAATGTTGAGTTCAACATTGCAGCCTGAGACATATTTATATTTGAAATATCGGCATGAATATATGAAGTCTTCACTAATCACTTCTCAGTGGGAATTGGCACAAAAGGGCATAACTGTAGGATTAAATTTGAGGTAAATTAAAAGATATGTCCAATGCTTTTTAAAATTGATTCCTTTGGAATATTTATGTGTTAAATATCCCCTTGTTGCTGTTATATTTATAAAATACAGTAAAATGATTATAAATGAACTCAGGGTCAGTCAAAAAGTACTATGCTCTGGGGAAATATATGGAGCAAACAGAGATTGCTGAGGCAATATATAATTGAAAGTGCTGTGGGGCTACTCAGTGAGAGCCAGCCTCAGCAAACTTAACATCAACAGAGCTGTCACCCCATCCCAATTTGCTCCTAGAGCTTTTTAATCAACAGATAATGTGTTTTAATTTTTAAAATTAATTTATATTTAAATTAAAAACAATCTTATTTTACATACCAATCCCAGTTCCCACTCCTTCACATAGTCCCATTTCCCATACCAACCACCCACTCCACACCCCATCTTCTCTTTAGGGAGGGTAAGGCCTCAATGGGGGATCATGAAAGTCTCTCACATCTCTTGGGGCAGGACCTAGGCCTGCCCTTGTGTATCTAGACTGAGAGACTATCCCTCCATAGGGAATGTGCTCCCAAAGTTCATTTATGCACTAGGGATAAATAGTGGTTCCACTGCCAGAGACTCCATACACTGCCCAGGCCCCCCAACTGACACCCACATTCAGGGGTCCTGGTTCGGTCCTATGCTGGTTCTTCTGCTGTCAAACTGGAGTTTGAGAGCTCCCACATGCTCAGGTCAGCTGTTTCTGTGGATTTTCCCAGCATGGTCTCAAACCCTTTGCTCATCACTCCTCCCACTCTACAACTGGTTTCCAGGAGTTTGGCTGAGTGCTTAGCTGTGAATCCCTGCTTCTGCTTCCATCAGGTACTGGATGAATGCTCTAGGATAGGATAAGCATTGATAGTCATCAGTCTCATTATAGGAGAAGGGCATTTAAGGTATCCTCTTCACTATTGCTAAGATTCTTAGTTGGGGTCATCCTTGTGGATCTCTGAACATTTACCTGGTGCCAGATTTCTCTTTGAACCTATAATGACTCACTCTATTAAGGTATCTCTTTTCTTGCTCTCCATCTCTGTTCTTTCCCTAACTCAAACTTCCTGATCCCTCATGTTCTCTTCCCCCCTCTTCTTTCTGCTACCTTCCTCCTCCCTCCCCCATGCTCCCGATTTACTCAAAAGATCTTCTCTCTTTCCCTTCTTGTATGCCCATATATGTCTCTCTTAGGGTCCTTCTTGTTTCCTAGCTTCTCTGGGTTTGTGCATTGTAAGTTAGTTATCCCTTGCTCTATGTCTAACATCCACTTATGAGTGAGTACATACCATATTTTTCTTTCTGTGTCTGAGTTACCTCACACGGAACAGTTTCTTCTCATTCCATCCATTTGCCTGTGAATTTCAATATTTCATTGTTTTTCTTTTCTGCTGAATAGTACTCCATTGTGTAATTGTACCACATTTTCTTTACGCATTCTTCAGTTGAGGGGCATCAAGGCTGCTTCCAGGTTCTGGCTATTACAAATAGTGCTGCTACGAACATAGTTGAACAGATGTCCTTGTTGTATGATTGTGCATCCTTTGGGTATATGCCTAAGAATGGAATTGCTGGATCTTGAGGTAGACTGATAACCCATTTTCCTGAGGAATCACCATATTGATTTCCAAAGTGGCTGTACGAGTTTGCATTCCCATCAACAATGGAGGAGTGTTCCTCTTTCTCCACATTCTCTCCAGCATAAACTGTCATTGGTGTGTTTTTTTTTTATTTTAGCCATTCTGACAGTTATAAGATGGTACCTCAGAGTTGTTTTGATTTGCATTTCTCTGATCTCTAAGGATATTGAGCAATTTCTTAAGTGCCTTTTGGCCACTTGTGATTCCTCTGCTGAGAATTCTCTATTTACAGATACTGTGTTTTCAGTGGAAATGCAAGGAAGTATATCTCAGAATATATAATGAATAACTAGAAGTTTAGGTTGAATTTTGCAAGGCAGACACTCACCTTAAATGATAGAACTCTTCTTGCTCTTCTTTGCTTTGACACATGGTTTGGAGAAACTATCACTGCCATTGTATTATTTTATCTTTATCTATCTTCTTCTATGACCTCCTATGTGATTTAACCCATCAACTTGATGCATTCCAGAATTATCTGGTGGTAGAAATTCCTCCTTCTCATAGCCATCAATAGTCAACAACTCCTCAGCCAGAGGTGGGTGCTTGTGTGCCATGACTCTATACTCACTGGAACATTTACTGTCATGAACTTGTGTAGGTACAGTAGATGTTAGTTCATGGGGGCATCAATTCTGTTCTCTCCAGAAGGCACTGCTCAGGTCTTCCCCAACATGGCTCTTTATACCTCTTCCAGGATGTTCCCTGCATCTTGCCAGGAGGGTGTGTGGACTACTTGGACCATTGAAGGGTGAATGCCCTTTGTTTTAAAAACAGCTTATGTCTTTTTGTTTCTTTGGGAGTTGTGTCCAATATACCCAAACTAATTTTTTTGAAGTTCAATAGCTCAAATTCATATTGTCCATTTTCAAGTGTGCCTTTTCTTTCTACTTTCAGAAAGAACATATTCCATTAAAAACTTTCTTGTAAAAGGTTTAATGAAATCACATAGTCACAGTGAAAATAAGGTCAAGTGAAAAGCTTTTGTTAATTTCTTTTCTTTTTCATTTGAACTGAATCCAGTTGCTGGAAATAAGTCATTTTGAAGGAGACAATAATTTAATTTTTATGTTGATTATAATTTTTTTTACATAAGGGTCTATTTTTTCTTGTTGTGAGTTAGTTCTCATTGGCTACTTGTAGCTCTCAGTACTGTTCATATTTTAGGAAATACAAAACTCTTTTTGCCAAACCTGCGCATGTGGCTTTTCTGCTCCCAGGGTGCCTC